TGTACTCCTGGGGCTCTGAAGACGCACTGTGTACTGTTTTCTCACAAATCTAGTCTGCAACAGCTCTTTCACCTACTAAATTTCGTACTTGGCTGGGCATCGGCACCTGGGCGTACTATAGGCCCTTCAAATTCAGCATGTTCCTTTTGTGTCTTGGCTCCAGAATTCAGACTTCTTTCCAGGGCACTGTCATTACCACCATCATCTTCTACCTTGAGTCCTGTATAGCCTCCTAACTGGTCTTATGTCCCCAGTCTCAGCCCCTTCCTCACTGCTGTCAGAGTGGTCTTTCTAAAATGAAAATATGTTCATATTCACTTCTCTTTCTAAAAGTTATTTGTGATTCCATTGCCCTCAGGGTAAGTCCAGTGTAGCAGTGCATCAGAGGTGCTTTCGTGATCTGGCCCTGCTTACCTTTCCTGCCTCACCCTTTGCCATATAGCACCATACAGTGCCTAGTTTTCTGCAAGAAACTTCCTCTTGTCTGTTGCCTCCTGCACTTTGCCTATGCTCTTCCCCTCCCTGCCTTTCCTTCCACTCTCCCCTACTCTTGGATAACTTCTTTGAATCTCTCAGATCTCATCTCTCAAAACCTGGTTGAGGAACCTTTTCTCTCTGCTTCCATAAGCACTCTGTACTTATTCCTATTACACAGCATTTATCATAGTACATTGTAATTGTTCCTTAACGTGTCTGTCTTCTCCCCTTATTTGGTAAGACTCGAGAAGAGCAGCTGTGTCTTACCACCATGCCCCCAGGATCTAGCATTGCATTTTCTTTTAATGGATGAATTAACATACCCTTGGTTATAATAAAGACATTTTGTTTTCTTCACTGCAGTGGAACTAAAGGTAGGCTACAACTAGCCTTTGGGATCCACACCATATTTGGGATCCATACCTTATTGGTGAGACTTCAGCCCTCTGAAAAACTAAATAATTATATAAGCTCTGTTGGATCTCTGAAATAAATAAAATAGTCCTTTTCCAGTCTAGTAAGTTGTAATAAGGAAACACAGATTTTCCAGTGTTAAATGTTTGAAAAGAACCTTACCTTCAGTAATTCTGTGAGAATTCCTAGGAAAATTTTCCAAGTTCTCTTTTTTCCCTTTAGAGCCTGGGAAAAGATTTTCTTTCTTTCTTAAGGCTGTGTGTGTAATTCTTTTCTTTACCTCATGCATCTGGTTACAGTGACTTTGAATTAATTATAATGAATAAATGAGAAACAAAAGAATCAAATGACCTTTATTATACAAATACATCTGTACTTAAACGTTACCTAAGAACAGGTGGCTAAACCTCAGAAGACCCACAAATTTATCTGGTGAGCAAATTGTGAATATAAAACATTATCTTACTATTTTTTGTTTTCTAGATGTAATGCCTAAAATTCCAATTAACATAGTTGTTAATTATCCAGCCACTGAGACAAATAGCTTTTAAATCTACCTTTGTTACTTATATGCAGAGGAACATAGCATTTTAATGTTCATGAATGCTGTCAATGAGTTTAAAGAAGGTTAGTAATACACTTAAAAACCTCTCTAATACAACCCAGTGTATGTATTCTATAGGTGTTCTCTTTCACCTTCTTGGTTACCACCCGGGACCTGGGTTCTCTTGCTCAGTGTCTTTTTCTCTGTTTGGCCCCTTTCTGGTCCACACCAGCCTCTGGTATCTTCTTCCCATAAGTTTCCTTCTTAGGAGTAAGCCTGTGATAATTATCTTTGTTTCCTTGCCTTTACATTATCATCATGGGAGGTATATTTTTATCTGGTCATCATTGCTTTGCTCAGAGAACTGATGTTTTTCAAGCTCTCTTGATATCTCTGTTAGAGTATCAGAAAGGCCAATCAATTAGGTTTTTCTGTTCTTGGTATGCTTCTTAGTTTCACTGTTCTTACTTCCTGAAAGTAAGCATTCTCAGAGCTTCTGTCTCTGAAACCATTTTTCTAAGTGAAGTCTTTTGGCAACATTGTTAGGAAGAGTAATAACCCATTCTCTTTTCAGTTCTCCCTTAATATATTTTCTCTTGGTCTCTATTTGTAACTTCATTATAGTTAAATTGAATAAAATGAATTTCTTAAAATTCTAATCAATAAATCAAAACTTAAATCAATTAGGGTTTATGTTGGAGCAGGAACCTGCCAAGATATGAGTTTGGGCTTTCTCAAGAGTTTATTTTTAAAGCGTGATTAACCATGAAAGGGAAACAGATCTCAATTGTTTTGTGCTGGATTTTTTCAGTTAGACATGCAACTCTCTTTGAAATCCATGTGAGCCAAGTTTACAAACATAGTAGCAGGTCTTTAATATTTTCCTGGCATTGAGACTATTCTAGTAAAAGGAAGAACACATTTATATATGTTTATTCTAAGAGAAATATGCTTATATGTGATATCGTAACTACCAAAACATAGACCCTTCTCCTCAACTTCTGCTTACCTTAATTGCTGTACAAGGCCACTAAGTTGGCAAGCTGAGCATTAGAGGTGAACCTGTGAATACTTTTTTTTTTTAAAGATTTTATTTATTTATTTGAGAGAGAGAGTGAGAGAGCACAAGAGCAGGGAGCGGGAGAGGGAGAAGCAGACTCCTTGCTGAGCAGGGAGCCCGATGCGGGACTCAATCCCAGGACTCCAGGATCATGACCTGAGCCGAAGGCAGTCACTTAACCAAGTGAGCCACCCAGGCGCCCAGAGGTGAACCTGTGAATACTTTTAATGTGTCTACAACAAATTGAGTCTTTTTGAACAAGCATGAGTTGATTTGTCATTTGCCATCTAAATAAGAGTCTAAATTTAAACTTAGAGGATTACTTTCTCTGTGTGACTTTTTGGGCTTTCAAAATGAACTGCCAACCCAAGCAGAAGCATGGAATACCCAAGGATTCCCATTCACTATATGAGTTATCTATTTTATAGTATTTGAAGTTCACCTGCTTCTTCCTTCCCTTTCCATATTGTTTTCTGCATTCCCTAAATAACCCAGCAAACAGATTTTCTTTGTAAAGTCGATTTTTGTTCCTTTTCCAACATATTTTTTTCGATATTGGTTTTTCTGTCTGCTATGTGGTGGGATTATTACCTGTCTTCAGAGGTTCTTGTTTGTTGCTGTTGTTTTTGAAATTTAAGAAATAGTGTTGGTGTTTTGACAGTTCAAATATTTTCTTAATACTGATAGTGCTTCTATGGGCAAAGACATTGAATATATTTATTATGCTTGATACTGTAAGATTTATGAAACTGGCAGTAGAAAACCACTAAAAGATACCCACAATTTAAATTTAATGAATCTAAAATCATTTGATTTTTCATTCTACTATGTTCAATGTTTAATAAACTTTTGTTATAATACATCTATGTATACTATAAAAGCTGCTACCTACATCATACATAAAGTTATAGGAATAATCAAATTGGAATGTTCTGACATTAACTGATAAGTTCCCGAGTTTATTATTTCCAACTGTGTTGATTTAACTCTGGAAGTTTGTGTGTTAAATTCCTTATTATTTCTTTTACTAAAAACATTTTCTGTCTAGTGCAGCTGAAGAGGTGTAATCTTTAACAGAATTGTAATTTAAGAAATTACATTGTGAATATATAGCATGCTCTGGTCCTAACCAGTGTAATTGTGTTTGCAGTGAATAAATTGTTAACCTAAAATAGAAAGAACTCTTACATGGATTAGGATAGTTTTTCTTGATATTTTGCAAATCCTGAGCCAGCTATGAACATACAACTAAATATTACAGTTCACAGAGAAAACAGTCTATCATGTGCTAATATATTTTTAGGAGCTTTTACATGATTGTTTTTGGAGTGGGAAAATACAACTCATAGAAGTAGATAAATTTCATAAAGTAATACCTAAATGTTCCATATATGTGTTTTAGGTTTTGTTTTGTTTTGTTTTTAAAAATAATTTGGAGGGCGTCTGGGTGACTCAGTTGGTTAAGCGACTGCCTTCGGCTCAGGTCATGATCCTGGAGTCCCGGGATCGAGTCCCACATCGGGCTCCCTGCTCAGCAGGGAGTCTGCTTCTCCCTCTGACCCTCCTCCCTCTCATGCTCTCTGTCTCTCATTCTCTCTCTCACAAATAAATAAAATCTTAAAAAAAAATAAAAATAATTTGGAATCACTGCCTTTACCAAACCTATTTTATTGCTCCCCATTAGTTCTCACGATCAAACTGGGTGTTTATTTGCTTAGTGTTATCTTCTCATAAATTCCATGAACATAAGAGTTTGGTTTTGTTTGATGCTAAATCTGCATTACCTATGTGACCTACACATAGAAGGAGCTTAGAATATATTTGTTGAATACATGAATAAATAAACAAGTAAATTGATTTCATTATTTCTTAACTATTTCTAGGGGGTTGTTTCATTTCTCTTGAATTCACTGACGTATTTGCTTCAAACAAAATCTTGAATGACACAGCCTGTCTATAGTCTTTGGATAAAGGGGAGATGGGTTTGAGAAGGTACTTTGGATTCCTAAAATGTCATGATCTCATTCACTGGAAAGTAGCCATTGGCATCCCAGCTAACTTTTCTTTTACTGTATATCCACTTTCCCTGAGCTTAGTAACATGAATAAATAACTAATATACCATGGAGGGGTTGAGGGTCTGGGGAGCAAAGGATCAAGCAAACTGAATTCGTACACTTAGAGCACATCTAGTTGAAATATCCCCACGCTCACCTCTCCCTATGCCTCTCCTCCCCAGAAAGCAAGTAATTTTAATGTTGGTATTTTACTGATATTTTTGGTGAGTGATTAATAGAACTGGAATGTAGCTAATGGAAAGCGTTTGGCAGTATTTTGGGGAAACTTCCATGTAGAGAGATGAGTAGTCATATATTTAACATTTAAAACTTAAACATACTGTGCAAGATGAACATTTGTACGGATAGAAGGTTTTTTAAAGGAAACTCGAGAAAGACATTGCTTTTGTCGTTTTGCGTGTCAGTTTTTAGATTAACTTTTTTTTTTTTTAAATATGGAACGCCTCACGAATTTGTGTGGCATCGTTGTGCAGAGGCCATGCTAATCGCTGTATAGTTCCAATTTTAGTATATGTGATGCCAGAGTGAGCACAAATTAACTTTTATTTTGGAATAATTTTAGATTTACAGCAAAGTTGCAAAGATAGTACCAAATATTTCCATAACACCTCACTTTCTCTACTTAAATTTTTGTTTTATTACAAGTGTAGGTCAAAGATACTGTGGGTTTGATTCCAGACCACTGTAGTAAAGCAAATATCGTAATAGAGTGAGTCAAATTAATTTTTTAATTTCCTAGTGCATATACAAGCAATGTTTACACTATGCTATAGCCTATTTAAGTGTGCAATAACATGTCTAAAAAAACAATGTACATACTTTAATTAAAAGATATTTTATTGCTTAAAAAATGCTAACCATCATCTGAACTTTCAGGGAGTTGATCTTTTTGCTGGTGGAGGGTCTTGCCTTGTTGTTGATGGGTGCTGACTAATGGGTGGCAGTTATTGAAGGTTGGGGTGGCCGTGGCAGTTTCTTCAAATAAGACGACAGTGAAGTTTGCTGCATCTGTTGACTCTTCCTTTCACGAACAATTTCTCTGTAGCACACAATGCTGCCTGATAGCATTTTACTCACAGTAGAACTTCTTTCAAAATTGGAGTCAGTTCTCTCAAACCCTGCCACTGCTTTATCAACTCTGTTTATGTAGGATTCTAAATTCTTTGTTGTCATTTCAACAGTCTTCCCATCATCTTCACCAGAGGTAAATTCATCTCAAGAAACCACTTTCTTTGCTCATCCATAAGAAATAACTCCTTATCTGTTAAAAGTTTTAACATGAGAATGCAGCAATTCAGTCCCGTCTTCAGGCTCCACTTCTAATTCTAGTTCTCTTGCTGTTTCCACCATATCTGCCGTGACTTCCCCCACTGAAGTCTTGAATCCCTCAAAGTCATCCATGAGGGTTGTCTTGTTCATGTTGATATTTTGACCTCTTCCCATGAATCATGAATGTTCTTAATGACGTTTAGAATCGTGAATTCTTTCTAGAAGGTTTTCAATTTACTTTGCCCAGATCCATCAGAGGAATCATTATCTATGGCAGCTGTAACCTTACAAAATGTATTTCTTAAGTAATAAGACTTGAAAGTCAAAATGACTCCTGATTCATGGGCTGCAGAATGGATGTTGTGTTAGCAGGTCTGAAAACAACATTAATCTTATTGGAAATCTCCATCAAGCTCTTAGGTGACCAGGTGCATTGTCAGTGAGCAATAATAATTTGAAAGGAATCATTTTTTTCTGAACAGTAGGTCTCAGCAGTGGAACTTAAAATAGTAAAACATGTTGTAAATAGATGAGCTGTCATGTAGGCTTTGTTGTTCGATTTATACAGCACAGGCAGAGTAGGTTTAACATAAATGTGTAAAAGCCCTAGGACCTTTAGAATGGTCAGTGAGTGGGCACTTGGGTGGCTCAGTCGTTAAGCATCTGCCTTCGGCTCAGGTCATGATTCCAGGGTCCTGGGATCGAGCCCCACATTGGGCTCCCTGCTCCGCGGGAAGCCTGCTTCTCCCTCTCCCACTCCCCCTGCTTGTGTTCCATCTCTCGCACTGTCTCTCTCTGTCAAATAAATAAATAAATAAAATCTTTAAAAAAAAAAAAAAAGAATGGTCAGTGAGTATTGGCTTCAACTTAAAGTCACCAACTGCGTTAGCCTGGAACAAGAGAGCCAGCCTATCTTTTAAATCTTTGAAGTCAAGCCTTTGACTTTTTCTCTCCAGCTATGAAAGTTTTACATGACATCTTTTTCCAATATAAGGCTGTTTCATCTACATTGAAAATCTGTTGTTTAATGTAGCCATCTTTATCAATTATCTTATCTAGATCTGGATCTCTTGCTGCAGCTTCTGCATGAGCACTTGCTGCTTCACCTTGCTCTTTTATGTTATAGAGACGGCTTCTTCAACCTCCTGAACCAACCTCTGCTAGCGTCTGCAACTCTTCTGCAGCTTCCTCCCGTCTCTCAACTGAAGAGAGTTAACAGCCTTGCTCTGGACTAGGCTTTGGCTTAATAGAAGGTTGTGGCTGGTTTGATCCTCTGTCTGGACCACTAAAACTTTCTCCATATCAGCAATTGGGCTGTTTTGCTTTGTCATCATTCGTGTGTTCACTGGACCAGCACTTTTAATTTTCTTTAAGAACTTTCCCTTTGCACTCACAACTTGGCTGCTTTCTGCAGGAGGCCCAGCTTTCAACCTGTCTCAGCTTTCGACACGCCTTCCTCACTAAATTTAATCATTTCTAGCTTTTAATTTAAAGTGAGAGATGTGCAACTCTTCCTTTTATGTGAACACATAGGGCCATTGTAGGGTTATTAATTGGCCTAATTTTATTACTGTTGTGTCTCAGGGAATAGGGAGGCCCACAGAGAGGGAGAGAGAAAATGGCCAGTCAATAGACCAGTCAGAACACACAGTTTTGGGGCGCCTGGGTGGCTCAGTTGGTTAAGCGGCTGCCTTCGGCTCAGGTCACGATCCTGGGGTCCTGGGATCGAGTCCCACGTCCAGCTCCCTGCTCAGCGGAGAGCCTGCTTCTCCCTCTGCCTGCCACGCTGCCTACTTGTGCTCTCTCAGTATCTCTCTGTCAAATAAATAAAATCTTTAAAAAAAAAAAAAGAACACATGCAATTTTTATCGATTAAGTGTGTTGTCTCATATGGGTGTGGTCATGGTGCTCCCAAAACAACTAAAATAGTAATATCAAAGAGCACTGATCACTATAACAAATATAATAATAATGGGAAAGTTTGAAATATTGGGAAAATTACCAAAATGACTCAGACACGAAGTGAGCACATGCCGTTGGAAAAAATGGTGCTAACTTGAGACCTTAAATTTGTAAAAAATGTAGTATCTGCAAAGTGCTATAAAGCAAAGGATAATAAAATGAGGTATGCCTGTATTTAAAAAAAAAAAAGAATGGAGCATAAAAAGGCACAACTACTAAACAATATGGTATCCTGGATGGAATCCTGGAACAGAAAAAGGACATTAGATAAAAACTAAGGAAATCTAAATAAACTAAGGACTTTAATAATAATAATATATCAATCTTGACTCATTACTTTTGACAAATGTACCATACTAATGTAAAATGTTAATAATAGAGGAAACTGGCTATAAGGTATATGAGGACTATACTATTTACCTTTGCAATGTTACTATAAATTTAAAATTTATTTAAAATTAAAAGGTTTAAAATAAAATATAATCCCATCCCCCCCCAAAAGTTAACCATATGTTTATTAAGTATCTACTCTGCCCTCAACCCTTTTTGGTCACTGTTAAAAGTGTCAATTCCTTGGTGAGCGCTATGAATTGTATAAGACTGATGAATCACAGACTTGGACCCCTGAAACAAATAATACATTATATGTTAATTAAAAATTTTTTTTCCTTTTCATTTTTTTTTGTTTAAAAAAAAAAAGAAAAAACAAAGTCCTTCTTGGAGAAATTAAAAAAAAAAAAGTGTCAGTTCTTTGTGAAATCACATTGAATCCAAAAATGCTCTTTTAGGTACTGGGTTCCAGATACCATTGTAGCTGACAAGGATGCAAAGGTGAGTAAGACATAGTACCTGCCCCCAAGGGACTCCAGTCTGCTGAAGGCTGAGAACAACATAGCCTAGGTTAGTGCTGTCACGGAGACAGAAGTCATGGCCTATGGAAACCAGGGATAGGGATCATTTATTTTGCTGGGGCTGGAATGAAACCAAGTGTTAGAAAATGGCTAACTCTGAGAAAAATACAATAGACTGAATACCGAAGGAAATTGAAACAAATATCTGACAATTTGAGGGTGGTAGCAAGAATGTAGGGACATTCAGAAGAAACTAGAGTAGTGAGAACTGTTTTCCAGTGGTGACTACAAATAGAACTGTAAAATTTTTAATCCCAGCAGGAAACAAGTTCAGTATAAGCCAACACTTTTCTTATATCAAAAATTGATGTGGGGGCACCTGGGTGGCTCAGTTGGTTAAGTGACTGCCTTCGGCTCAGGTCATGATCCTGGAGTCCCGGGATCGAGTCCCGCATCGGGCTCCCTGCTCGGCGGGGAGTCTGCTTCTCCCTCTGACCCTCCCCCCTCTCATGTGCTGTCTGTCTCACTCTCTCTCTCAAATAAATAAATAAAATCTTTAAAAAAAAAAATTGATGTGATACAGGAAAATATTAAGAATATAACCTACAAGAACAAAAAAATAGTATTCTTGTTCTCCCAAATGAGAAGCTGGTCTATACCAAAATAGCAAATCCAATTCTGTTCTCATTTGGTCACCCTTTTACCTGTTATGTACAAAAAGTCATCTTTAGTTAGATAGACCAAAAATTAGAGAAGATTCAGAGAACCAAAAGAAGCATAAATGAAACTAAAGCCATTTTAAAAGCCACAAAATTGCTTCTACCTTCCTAATTCCCAGTAATTAAAAGGTCTATAGGAGAAGGGCACTGACAATAATGGTTTTTTGAACAGAGGTAAAGGAAAAGACCTTAAATTTAGCAAAATATAATTAAGTGCAAGAAAAATTTCCTAACTTGAAGAATTAAACATACATACTTTAAAGTAAGTAATGGGAGGAAACTGCCCTCCTTGATTTAGGGAGCTGTCCTGCCCTTTGGTGAAGGTCTAGAAACAGATAATTGTTTATAGCTAAAGAGGGTACTCTTTGGTTCAAATATGATATTAGATATTAACAGTGTATTAGCAAGTATATAAAATAGTAATGACTGTTTAGTGATCTTAACACATAAATATGACAGCTACATTAGATTTGGGTTCCCAACGGAAAATTAAATCCATCAAAAGCAAAGAAGAATCCCAGCTGTCATAAGCACTTGACAGATTCAAAGAAGATAGGGATTTCCTGTAATCTATTCTATTCTCAATCTTTTGTTTCAGCTGTAACATGTCTATCCCTTCAAATGCTATTCCAGCCAGTCCACCTGTATCAGATGTATAATAGCTTTTTATAAGTAGTAGCAGTTTTTTCTGTATATAGACAATACGAGTGACCATCTTCAGGAGTAATTGT